ATACGGACCAGTTGTCTTTCGGGTAACTTGCAGCCCTTGGCTTTTATGAGCTCTTATGTGCATTTGAGGCCTGTAACATCAAGTGAGAGTACATGGGAAGGTACATCTAGGTGGCTATAGTGTGGGCTATACAAACTACATAACTAGCATCTAGTAGTGAGTGTGGGGGATAGCCCATGTCAAACAATACTTGCCATTTAGTGGGACACTGCCCAAATTTCTAACTCTGTGCAATAGTTCCCCTGCTGTGAATGCTGGAAACTGAAACAAGCCTTACTTGAAATGCAAAGTTTGGCAGCTGCTGCTTCTATCGCCATTGACACAGAGACATATCTTTAAAGCAACATACAGGGTTTTTGTGGTCACAAGCCTACTAGGAAAGATGACAACGGTATATTGTATGACAATGCACCCAACAGCCACCATGTCTGATTTAATGGAGTGTGTGTACATAGATACTTTCTGCCCAGCCACAGTTTGTGGTGGAAATGAAAACAGAAACTTCTTACCACAGCACCACATGTGCTGGGGGGCTAAAGTCCATACTTCAATGACCTGTGTTTTGGGCAAAACTTTACTTTTCACAGGCATGCTCTTCGCCCACATACACTCAAACTTTTGTATCTGGCTAACCTCATAGAGCTGCCTCCAATAGCGTTTACCTCAAAGGTTCTTTGCACTCTTTCTCGGTGGCTTTTTCCTTCAGCCTCATTTTAGTGCTCTCTCTACCTCAGAATTTTTACTGTTTTATGTGGTGCATTTCTAGAATATTTGAGAGACTGCTGTCAGAGGGGAAGGGGCATGGCAAAGACTTGTTCTGAGTGCCCCAAGGAGACTTTTATTTAAGACAAAACAAAAACCAAGCATTTAAAACCCAGGAATAAATGAAGACAAAAATGATAAATTTGCCCCACTCCCTGCAGAAAGACAGGCTTAATTTATCCTAAGATGCTTCTAACAAGTTTGTTCAGGCTACTTTTTCAAAGAAGCCTACCAGTGGTGAGGATTTCACAACCTCTTAAAAGCTTCCTCTTTCAGCAATTGGAAATGCTTCTTTCATGTTGCTTCGGCATTCAGGTTTTGTCCCAATTTGGTACCCAATCTGGAGTGGATTTTTTTTAGTAGCCACATGACATGGTTCCCTAATCACTCCTGGGTTTCCCCTCCTCTAAGGCATTCTCCTCAAATTGGTTTGATGTAGTCGAAAAGAGCAAAAGTCCAGTAGCACCTTAAAGACTAATAAAATATCTGGCAGGGTATGAGATTTCATGAGTCACCGCTCACTTCAGATTCTTCTGGTTTGATGTGATGATTTTGGAAGCCTGAAAAAGCCCTCCGGTGGTGGTGGTGGGGATGGCAGCCACAATGAAGCTGCCTCATACTGAATCAGACTGTTGGTCCATGAAGGTCAGTATTGTTTATTCTGACTGACAGTGGCTATCGGCTCTCCAAGGTTTCAGGCAGAGATCTTTCACATCACCTACAATCTGATCCTTTTAATTGGAGATGCCAGAGATGAATGCCAAACAGATGCTCTACTACTAAACCACAGCCCCCCCCCCCCCCCCCCCCCCCGGATTTATCTTAGTCAACCACTATTGGATGGATTCCCCCGGGGAGAGCTGTCCACGTGCATAATGCCACCATTGAAAAACCTGTTAGAGTGTCAAGGATCTTTTTTTGTTTGTTTGTTTGCTGTCAGGTTGCTGCCAACTTATGGTGATCCTGCAGGGTTTTCAAGGCAAGAGACATTCAGAGATGGCTTCTATTGCCTTCCTCTGTGTAGGAGTTCCTTGGTGGTCTTCTATCTAAATACTAACCAGGGGTGATCCTGCTTAGCTTCCGAGATCTGACGAGATCAGGCTAGCCTGGGCTATCCAGGTTGGGGATCAATACTGGAACTTTTAGTTGGGCCTGAGAAAGAACAGGCAGCCAATTTAGATGAGTATCATAATTATATGCTCCATCCAAGCTGCTTTCATGACAGGGACCGTGGCTGAGTGGTAGAGTGTCTGCTTGGCATGTAAAAGTTCCCAGGTTCAATCCCTTGAGACCCTGGATGCCACTCTAAGTAAACAATACTGACCTTGACGGACCAATGTTCTGATTCAGTATAAGGAAGCTTAATGTATTCATATGTTCACAGGTACTGCAGTTAGCCACATTCTGAACCTATTGAGAGTTTCTGAACATTCTACAAAGGCAGCTCCAATTAGAGTACAGAACAATAATCTGAATTTAACTATGATTCAGGTGGGTAGCCGTATTGGTCTGAGGCAGTAAAACAAAGGTTGATTCCAGTGGCACCTTTAAAACCAACTAAGTTTTATTCAAGGTGTGGGATTTCATGTGCACACTCACTTCCTCAGACACACTGAAATGGAAGTTATCAGTCCATACATATAGGTAGAGGGTGAACAGCAAATTAGCACATAACATAATAACAGATGTGAGAACTAAACAGGAATAACAAGCTTAGTTTATATGGTCACCATTTGTTTGGATTCAATTTGGTGGGGGGAACAGTGAGGCAAATAAATATATCAAAATTGGAGACTAATATATAACTGTATCCTTCTTAGTTGTGGGATGCTAAGAGTAATTGACTGGGACCCAGTTGTTATGCTCCATCAGTCTCCTCTCAAGAATGGAGGTAACTAACATCCGTTTCTTTAAGGTACAATGTTATATCTCCTCTGCCACCAGACCAGGGAAATAAATTTCAATCTACCATTCTAAATTATACTACATTCTAATATTATTTGCATTACATTATAATCACTATTCCAATCTACTATTCCAAATAAGAAATACACTAAAATACCGAATAGCCATTCTTGGTAAGAATACAGATGTAAGGACTGGAGAATATGTGTATTCACTAGTACCTGCTGTCTGCTCCCAGGGATTTTCTGTCTGAACCTCTTGTTATTTTTCTGCAACGATGTCAGGCTCTACTCTTGCAGAGCTTCATCAGTGCTGTATAACTGCTCAAATTTTTATCCAATCCCAACACCATTTCAGTCTGGTGGGAAATAGTTTCATCCACCACCACTGAAAAGACAGAAGGTCAGGAAATTAGAGAGTACTCCATCTTTCTGTGTTATACCTCTGAGGATGCCAGTCACAGCTACTAGCAAAATGTCAGGTTCTACAATGCCAAGGCCATGGCCACACAACCTGGAAAATCTACAGCAACTAATGAACTCCGGCTGTGAAAGCCTTCGACAACATATTTACTGGTCAGCTGTTTCTTCACGTCCGACCATTTAATCATAGAGATATTATGGAGGTAAGCAGTGTAATAATAAAGATTTCAAATCAGCAGCACATACAAAAATAATTTGACTTCTAAGTAGTAACTTCTTAGGCACAAAAGTTTCCATGCACTGTGAAACCATGACAAGAATTACTTTCAACACAGTACAACCTATTTTTCTACCCCCCTTTTTTAAATTAAAAAAACCCTTTCCGTTCAACCCTAGAAGTTCACAGACATATAATCCTGAGCAGCAGAAAATTTCTAGATATTCTATTTGGAAACAAGAATTAAAAGGACTGATTTATATTTAGCCACACCCAATGTAATTTTCGAGTCATTACCTTTGAGTAAGAAGAAAACAGTTTCCGAAGAATAGGGAAGTAAATGATTGCTTAATAAGGACGTAATATAGTGGTTCCTGAGAGTCACAAACATGGGGCACTGGAGCAAAATGTGGAAAGGTGTATTGATCATTTTCAGGCCACCAGGGTACATTCTGTCAGAATATACCTTGCCAGCAAACCTGCCCTGTAAAACCATGGAAGGAATGATGTTCAACCTAGCAAACAAGAATGTCCTACCAAACCCTGGAGCTGAGAGATAACAGAAATAAGAAGATAGTACATTGGGGAGGGGGATGCCATAAAACAAAGAGCAAACATGACGGCCTCTCAGTAAGGTACTGTGATGATCAATCTCCAAGATACGTTTCCTAATCAAGTTAAGAGAATCATGCTTTCTTTGGGCCAATATATTTTGGGCGATCATATCAATTAATAATAGTTTATCGTCCACCATTTTCAGCCATGTTGATTTAAAATAGGCTTTTTCCAGTAGAGCATGTAGGCTCTCTTCAGAGAACAAAACTCTTATCCTCAGCTTAAAAGCAAGGAACCATGCTCTAGCCTCCAATGACTTCTGTCCAAATTCTGCCAGCAAGGCAACATTGGAAACACAATAAGGAATATTCATTAGTTTTCTCAGAAACTGGGAGAGTGGAATGTTAAATTTTCTCTGTAACTGTATTTCTCTAAACTGCAGAACTGCAGGTTGAAAATCTGAAGAGCTCCAGGTACATATCTGCCACCTTTGGAATACATTTTTTTACATTATTAAGCACAGCTTTAAAGTGAGATTTCCAAGACAGATCAGCTAAGAACAACAAATTTAAACTCTAATGTTCTCATGACCATGCTGATTGTTTTCCATAAAGCAAAGGGCATATGATTTTTGTATGGAACAATAGTATATAAGTGTAATATTTTGTAGCAGATATTCTTGTTTAACTGAAAAAGAACAGCACACAAAAACCAGATAGCTCAACAGACAAGTTATGGTTTCCTAGCAAACTGAAAGGAACATGTGAAGCAATACAAGACATAACATTATCTGCACTGTTACAGGTTTTTAAAAGTTAAAACTGCACACAGAAGTTTTGTGGAGGCAGATCTGTTATTTTAATTTAAAAGGTTACATGCCAGTGTGAAGAACTAACCAATGGTAGGTAAAACAGCTATTTGAGTCTGGCCATATCTTTTTCACAGACAATCTCAGAAGAATTTTTTCTCATCTTGTAAAACATGTAAAGAGAAAAAAAAACGTTTTGATCTATCTTGATAGTATGACTGAATGGTAAGATTAAACAAGTTCTGTTGCTACAATAAAACCGTGTGTTTTCAACAGTACATGTAGACATTCCTTTCTACTGTAACAAGACTCCAAAAATCCAAGGCACGGGTCAAAATTCATCATCTGAATCCGCATCCCAGCCACAGGATTCAAGCTCCTCATCTTGTGGAAAATCCACTTCTACATTGTAGACAAAACCAGGATCATCCTTCTTTTTCCTGTTCTTTTCAAACAGCTCATCCATTATTTTTTTCCTTTTGGCAAGCTCCTTGTCATCAAGTTTGTTCAGGTTCTCCTCAGGGTCAATTATTTCCTTCAGCTGAATTTGTTCTAGACTCTGAGTCAAACTTTGTCCTCCCAAATGGCCTCTGAGCAAACTGTACAACTTTTGCAACTGTTCCATTGAGACCCCTTCCAAGTAAGTCTTGTGTCGAGGATTATTCTTTAGCTGTTCTGCTGCCCTCCTGCAATCTGCACCAAAAAGAAAGCAAAGAAAGCTAACAAAGGTCCCGATCACATGCAGAATTAGCCGCGCGATAGGCAAGAATCCCGGGCAGATTTTAAGGGCGTGATCACACGGGAACATCTGGCAAGCGTCCCGCACCCATCGGCAACCCATCTTGCTCTGCCGAAGAAGCAGAGTTAAAAAATACCACGGACAGTCCAGTATCAAATGGGTTGCTACGGGCCACAGATGGACTTTCCCCTGTGATCGCTCCACCGCACTCTCATGGCATCGGGATGGTCTGATCAGGCCATCCCGACTCTGTGCCGTTTTTTCCCCCTTCTCAGTATGCGCATCATCGCATACTGCCGTAGGAAGCCCTTAGTGTGGAGATGTGATTCACTGATCCTCCGTTTAAGCGAATCAAAAACAAACAGCAAAAAAACCCCCCAAAAAACAACTCACCTGTGATTGCGTCTGATCACGCAGTGGCGGGCTATGCCTGCAGCTTCAAAGAACCATGTGATCGCGCAACAGTGGGTCAATTTTCCTCCGGGTTAAATAGCCTTGCTTCCCCCACGTGTGACTGGGACCAAAAACAAGCAAACAAAAACTCCCAAAACCTTTGGCTGCAGATACATGCCTGTAATTTGCAAACTGATCAGACATTAATCTGATGGGTATCTGGCAGACTACTAGGAAGCACTTCTGTTGCTGATGTGTCACAAATACACAACTGCTAGAAAGGTCAATACTTCAGCTTAAAGTTTCAAAGTGAATTTGTTGCTGAAAGTCACTTGGACATGGAGCCTTCTGTAAGGTCATATTGTACTTTGCCCTGCTGTACATTGTGTAAGGAAGCTGACATCACACAGTATGTTCTCTTTTTGTTTCCTTTCATCTTTGTTTTTCTTTATACCTGCATATCTCAAATAATATCACAGGTCCTAGTCACCTGCCTATATCATTTCTAGATTGACACCTTTTCTTTCTCTATTTTTACAGCTTCTTCCTCCCCTTCCCCACTTGGAAAATTTTAATATATTTTTATTTATATATTTAATTCACTTATATCCTGCCTTTCCCCCCAATGAGGACCTAAAGTGGCTTACATCACTTTTTTCTCTCCTCCTTTTTATATAACTAAGCAATTATACAACTGAGTAGTACAATAAATAACCGCAGCAAATTGAGGGGCTGTACAAGTGCACAACAAACAGGAGTAAAAAACCCTGCATGAACCAGATGGACAAGATGCTCGCCTTGCTACATGGTCTCTCAAGATTAATGGGAAAAAAGATGCAGCAAAAAGCATAAGAGTACCATCACCACTTCTGCCCACAGCCAAACCTAAAGTACTGGGTACATGTTAGGTTTCTGTCCATGTACATTTTCTTGTGCTGTATAATGGAATATAACTTTCAAATCAAGGGATATGACAGATGTCATAAAAAGAGAGCTTATAGTGCCTTGGTGGTGAGAGAAAGTGCTGTCAAGCCAACTTATAAAGATGTCATAGGGTTTTCAAGGTAACAGATGTTCATTTCCTGCCTCTATCTAGCAGCCCTAGACTTCCATAATGGTCTCCAGTCCCATCCAAGTACTAAGCTTGCTTAGCTTCTGAGATTTGACAAGATCAGGCTAGCCTGAGCCATCCAGGTTAGGACATATTCCCTTAGCTATGAGATAAGCCTGGTTTTCCAATAGTGAAATACTAACGAAACACAGGCTCAGCTGTTAATTTTGCTTGCCTCCACCCCATGCTGTTTTCCTTTGTTTTTTCAAGTGCCATATGAACAGATATTAATTTATCTGTGCACTCATCACTTTACTGATAAAGTGGGAATTTAAAAAATGCTAAGCTGCTCTGATAAATTCTAGGACCAGTTTCTTGAAGCCATCACAGGAGACCAGCCAATCAGCACTACAAACAACTTCTTCTGCAACCTTGCAAAACTGTGATAGATTTTATTTGTATTTATTTATTATTAAATGTATACCCCACCCTCCCCAGAGATAGGACATAACCCTAGAAAGGAACCAATATAATCAAGCTGAAGGCAACAACAATGCTTCCAGATTGTTCCCATGGGGTAAAGATACAAATTGGTCTATTTAAGTGTCATCTGAAGTAGTTTTGTATTATTTAGCATTTTAACTGTTTTCAACTTGAATGTCAATGTATCTGTTGAAACTGTTGTTCACCGCCCTGAGCCCTTTGCACAGGGGAGGGCAGTCTACAAATTGAATGAATGTATGCATGTATGTATAAATAAATAAATAAATGATGGTTATAGCTACCTGTTTCAGAAATGGGCCAATTATAAACTAGCAGAATAAACATGCCATACCTGAGTACTTGGAGAAATTCCGGACAGGCATGATGCGCTTCCGTATATTACTTCTGACCTGATCTTCGTAAATTAAAATAATAGATGGAGGCTGCAACTGAATGCCACACTTTTTTGCAACGAAAGACATCCCAGCTCCTCTATAGCTTTAATCCAAAAATATCAGTCTCATATGTGCCAATGTAGTAATCTGAAATACATTTGTTAAAAAGAGAAATGAAAGGGCAAAATTTAAAAGGACCAGGAAATTCCTAATTATTTGTTTAAAAGTTATCCTTCAAAAAAGGATTTAGGGGGGAAAAATTAAAAAAATTAAATGCCATTTCAACCACAGCTGGCTTCAATGAGACATGCTTAAATGTTGCACCAAATTAAAATTTTGGAGAAAGCAGCTGCTGCCAATCACAAATGTCAGGCAGTTTTTTAAACACTGTCTTCAAGAGGACTAAAGAATTCACAGGGCAAATTCTGTGGCGTTGGGTGATTCACACCACACTTAACTGCACGCAAAGCTCCTACTTTATCATCTAGAGGACGTGTCTTTCATACAGCCGTTACTCCAGAGACCCCTCTACTTTAATGCAGTTTATTTCTGAAACGAGATGAGCCGAGATCTGGTTGCTTGCTTTGTCTTGTGGAACGGCAAGAGTTCTTGATTTCGCATTGGATCGCTGACTCTTGGATTTGCGCTCCGAAACGAGGAGTGGTTAGAAGAGAGAGAGAGACCCGTGTCAGAGCTGAGACCTAGTAATTTGACCGTGTTCACATGTACAGTAGGTACTACAACAAGTTTTATTTTTACTCTGCAGGTTCCTCACGAACGGCTTCACTGAAAACCCTCTTTCTTCTCGGACTCATCACCATAACGACCGGTCGGAGCCGTCACCATGTCAGGCCCCTCAGTAAATTCTGTTTACACAAATGCCCGCAAGGGAAAAAAGAAACTTGCGACGATTTTAAGGTTTTGTTTGTTACTTCCTTTGCTTGACACTTGATTAATATCATTTTGGGGTCACCTAAGGAAAACCGTTGACCGGCGAGGTCTTTCTAAGCAGGCACGGATACGATAGTTCCCCGAAGAGGGCCTTGAACGTGCGCCGACAAGGCGACGCGTGGATGACGTAAGAAGAAATCCCTCCATATGTGGGAGGTACTAAGTATGCTGATATTTTAGTCTCCTCCTTCTGGTTGACGGAGCAGGAGGGGTTGGCAAAGGACCGCAGTGGGTGCTTGCAGGCAGGTGCTGTCTCAGTACAGGCGGGAAGGGGAGTCTATCCAGGTTCTGCGAGCCTCCAGCCTGCTGCTGTCGGGAGATGTCGGGGGTTCCCGGTTGGAGCCTCTTCTCACGGTAGAAAGATGCGCTCGCTGTTCCCGCTTTCAAAGTAGCTTCCTGTGAGTATTTAGGAGAGAAGGTTGGACGGAGAATCTTTGCTCTTCTTGTACGCAGAAAATTAGTTTTGTTTAGTGGGTTACCACCGTTGTTAGGGGGATGAGGCCAAACTGCTTCCACCACGAGGGAGAAACTTCTGTTGATTTCAGTGTACTTTGCTTGACTCAGGCTTTTTGAGGATTGCAAGCCGCCTTCGTCGGACTCAACACGCTAAATGTGTGTAGATGACACGTGTGCGGATAATACAAGGATTACATGCAGATATGATAAATAATAAATAGCCTGCTGTCACAGAGTGACTGAGATCTGAAATAAGTGAGTCCAGTGGCACCTTTATGACCAATAAAGTTTAATTTGGGATATAAGCGAACCTTTACTTTTTACACTAAGAAGTGTGTGTGCACATGACCTTACACCCAGAATTTAGCTCCAGATTTCTCAGTATTCTACTGCAATTCGAAATGTAAGGACTTCAAGTTAGTACTAAAGCATACTAATATAGTCCTGGGCTGAAGCTATGTGGCTGATCAAAACAATGCATATGGTTTTAAAGCAGTAGTTGTGCTTATTGTCTCTTTGTCATGAGAGTCAAACAGTAAAGGGTTGTTCTAAATCAAAAAGTGGCAATTTGAACAAAAACAACTCTAAACTTTGTAGCAATAGCTGCTAGACATCTGATTTTTTTCCTTTTAGCTTTATTTCAAGATGTCTCAATGGAAAAACCATGTGCTCCTTCAGTTGGGTACCTTTGCACTTTGGATTGTGTTCTTTGTTTTCATGCCAGAAGATGTATGTAAGTTGAAATCTGTTTTTCCTATATTTAGTGAGCAAACTGAATATAACACTAATTTGCTAGTGCATTGAATGCGATGTCATATTGTGCTTAATTATGGAATCTAGTGTTACATTTTTATTTAACATGTTTACATTCATGCACTGTATTCACATTATTAATTTTAACCAACTTCTAACTTGCATTGCATATTTAGTCAGTTTATCTTTATTATAAATATGTATAAGTCTTCTGTGCTGTGGAGCAGTCCCACTGAAGTCTGTGAAGTGGTTAGAGTCTATGCATAGACCTAATAGCCTTGGAGAATAAGCACAATAGGTGTGGACACTTAGATCCAGCTGTGGCAGTCCATACTTTCTTCAGTTGATTTGTTTATTTACTGGATTTCTATCCTGCTTTTCTTCCCAGTGGGGATTGAAAGTGCTTTACAATGTTTTCCTTTTTTCCATTTTATCCTCACAACAGCCCTGTGAGGTTAGGCTGAGAATGTGTGACAGCCCAGAAAACGTCTATGGAAGAGTGTGGATTCAAACCCAGGTCTCTCAAATCCTAGACTGACACTCTAACAACTGTACAACACTGGCTCTCACTGGCTGTGAGATCTTTCTCTTTAGTCAGAGAAGGAAAAATACAGCAACTAGTCAGCAACTAGAGATGTTTTCTTGTTCAGGAGGACAGAATGACAGAATGGAGGTTTTTGGATGTTGTTAACCTATTTTTCTCTGTGTGTGTCTCTGCCACAGAGCACAGATAGGAATAAATGGGTGCTGCAAGGCTCGGTATTCTCTCAGATTGGAGGCAGGGGAGACCAGTCAGCAGCTAGATCATCTTATTTATTTTATAAAAATACACATGCTGCCTTTCCTCTTGGCCTGGGGTAACTTCCAAGTAATAAAAAATTAAAAGTAATAAAAAATGTCTGCTGTTTATATCCCATCAAAAACCCTGGCAAACAAACAAGCCCTGTAGTGCTTCCTGAAGATCTCCATTGAAGGGGGTTCCTTTCATATCTTCAAGGAGACCATTCCACAGAGAAGGGCCATTAAGGAAAAGGCCAGGGTTTGATTGATGCCAAGTGGGCCGCCCTAATTTGGGGAACAGCCAGCAGGTGCCAGCCTGAAGATTTTAGTTGAGGCACAGGAACATATGAGAGGAGACAGACCTTCAGATATATGGGCCCCAGGCTGTGGAAGGGCTTTAAAGGTCATAATCAGCACCTTGAATTGAACTTTGAAACAAACTGACAGCCACTGTAACTGTTTCAAAATAGTCAAGACCACCTCATTATTTCTTCCCTCATGGAGAAAAACGTGACAGAACTGTTGTGGCTGCTGGAAATAAATACGTACATAAATGGTGGTGGGCAGGTTTGAGCAGGTGCCTCTTGATTAGCCTAGCAAGCAGCAAGTGATAAATTTCAAGGCTAGATTTAAAGGTCTATTGTTTGCCATCAGTTCAGGAGGTAATTTAATTTATAATGATTGCAGTTTGTTTTTTAATCTCTTTCACAAAGGACACTAGTCAAATTTTTAGAAGAATATTCAAATACTAAAATATGTCAGTATTGATGATGATGATAAGAGATTCTTGTTGCACTTTTTGTTTCCTCTTATAGCTGCACAGGATTCTTGTCCAGAAGTCACACAATGGCTCTTGAAAGATGGCTTTCACAGGTGAGTTCCTGACAACCAGGTATTAAACAGTGCTTCTGTTCTAATGGTTATAAAGACTGAAATCCTTCAAACTTTTTCACCCATCTAACTAGTCAATATGCATATGATCAAATGAACAAGTGAGCTGATGATTTATGCTAAATAAAATGGACTTGTGGTAGGTATGTAATTGTCAATATAAGTTCCAGGCTGTGCTTGGCCATATGGATTTATAAGTTGTTCCGTCTACTACCTAGTTCTGTTGAAGTTGTACACTATACAGTCATTGCACATGCTGAACTAGACAGGGAGCACTTCTGAGCTACAGTCCTCCACTAGTATAGAGAGGACAACAATGCTTTATAGTGTGAATGTGAACAGGGATGAAAATAGAACATAAAATCTGATTTTATAAGTGCATGTTAAGAAATGAGTTCAGTGGGGAGGACTGCAACCCTAGAACACAATAGCAGTAGTATAACATACAGTTTCAAGCATACATGCCGAAGTGAAAATGTTATTCCTTTGAGAGCGTTTGTTTGAAATCTTTGGCGTGAATTTAACATGCATTGGAAGAGCTTTTAAATTGTCTTTTTCTTTTTCTTAATGTTAGAGATCTCCTGAGTAGGGTAAAACTCGGTACAGTTGATGAAGGCACAGGAAGCTGCATGGTGGCAATTAAAATTCACCTTCCAAAAGGATTATATGTGGACCCCTATGAACTGATGTCTTTAAATAGACATAATATTACTGAGGTATGACTTTGGGTTGATGTTCAGCCAAGGGAAGATAATTTGGGGAAAATACACAAAATGGCTTCCAGTAAATATACACACAGTTCCAGTGACATACTAGCACTCAGCTCTTGTTGGATGGAGATAGATTATGTACCATACCCCCAATCTGTAAGTATCCTAAACTGAATTTAATCAAGTGGAAGTTGATGTATTTGATCTTTTTCTCTCTTTGAAGAGCATTTCTTTTACATTTTTAGGTTTTTGAGGTTGAAGTAACCTTAATATTTGAAATATTTATCATCTTGCATATCTGTTGTTTGATGGAACTGTAACTCTCCAGTACCAATTTTTATGAAAATACCTTAAACAATTACTTCAGGTTTAGAGGACAGTGCTCCCAGTTTAGAGGAAATCCTCAAATGTTTACCAGGCTTTTATTCATTAAAGCAGTTTTGTGAAGAAAAAATGATTTCTCAAAGGTTTTTTTCAAAAGTAAAATGTGAAGTAATTGGGCTTCACTCAGGTGAAGACCACTGAACAACAGTGTTATGAAGATACAAGGGAGGGTTCTCATAATGTTACTGAGAATGACGACTCTAGTGTTGTATTTTTGTGCTCATAGTTTTACAGTGCAAGCATAAGCAAGTCTATTCAATAAGGATTGCTCCCAGGAAAGTCTTTTTAGGATTACATTGGAACGAAGTTTGAGTCCAGTGACCCCTTTAAGACCAAGTTTTATTCAAGGTATAAGCTTTCATGTGCAAGCACACTTCTTCAGATAAAATGAAGCAATTTCCTTAACAAAGTTCTGTTCAAGGTAAAAGCTTTTGTGTGCAAGCACATTTCTTCAGATACAGTGAAACAGAATTTCCTCAACTGTTACGATTGAGGAAATTCTGTTTCACTTTACTTGAAGAAGTGTGCTTGCACACATAAGCTTATACCTTGAATAAAACTTGGTCTTAAAGGTGCCACTGGACTCAAACTTTGTTCTGCTGCTTCAGGGCTACCCACCTGAATTTTGGATTGTATTGTTAAAGATACAAATAAAAAGTGGTTAAAAAACCCATTGAAGATATGAGCTTTTATCTTTCCAGAGAGATGAGATAACTGACTGCTTTGGGCATTCTGAAAGATCTGCATAGCAAATATTTGACCTTTGACCCCTTTGTCAGTTTTCAGCTGAATCTTTACTTACATTGTTAAGGCACAAGTACCAGAATATGACACTGGCATCAGCCTTGGGGCTTTTCAGTGAGTCAGGTAAACGTTGATACTAATCTCTACAACATGATTGTGCTTTTTTATTATGCTTTTTTGTGTGCAGGCTTTGGAGATTGGTGATTATATAGATTTGGAAGTTCCTGAGTATTTAGCCACTGAAACTGATGTTCTCGTTTACATGAAGCCTGATCCTGAATGCTATTACTGTTTTAGAGCAATGTTACCCGTGCACTGCCGATATCACCAACCAGCAGAGGTTGATGGAAAAATCTCTGCCATACTGAAGAATCCAGAAATATTGGTCCACTGCCAGAAACGTAAGAAACACTGACCACCTGCTTTTGGGAATGAGAAAGGGGTAACAAGAGGAACAGGAATTAAAAAGGCACTTTGGAATCATAAATCTTGGGGGTGGGGTCTTATATTTCAGTAGAACTATGAGGGAGAGACCTAAGCAGGCATTCTGAATTGAGGAAAGGAGTACTTAAAATTTAAAGTGAAATGATTTCCGCGGTATTAGGTTTGATTCTTGTGGTTTTTTACTTTATTTCGCCTAGGCTTGCTATCAATGGAATGTTTGAAAGAAACCAAAATAGAAGAACCATGTTCTCGCAAGAATATGCATAACTGCCATTGGGACAGCGTGAAGTTCCAACTAGTACGTTGATTATTCCTAAAATATATTGCTATATTAAATGTCCATAATGATCCTGAAATTAATTTATTTCCGTCTATTGACAGTAGATTGGATCTTATTCCAGACTAAATTGGCAATTTCCACCACTTCCTCCTACACTTACCCCTTATGTCACTCCTCAGGGTCACTTATCCCTCAGGAACAGAATTTTTTGTAGGTTAGTGGGCTGTGGTTGTATGGCGGAGGCAGGAAAGTTCCATTCTGTCACTGGAACATCTGGTTTCGATCCAACCCAGCAAAAAGTAACTTGGGCTTGGGATTGTATATCTTTGCTCTATATGCACTTCTCTCTGGCACTGTGGAGGCAATCCTCTGTGGTGCTTTCTTTCTTTGGCATTAGGCACTTCTGTGAGCACAGTTTCCAGTGTTTCTGTGAGCCCAAAGTACCTAGCACAGAGGTTGTAAATGCCACAATGGAGGATTGCCTCTGCAACACCCAAAGATAAATGTGTGGGGGGCAGAGGTATAGGATTCAAGCCCAAGGATACGTTCTTGAACACAAGTTAGATTGCTTCATGCTGACTTTTGTGTACTACTTGAGCACAAGATTGTAGTCCAAGTTTCCATATGGATAGGCTGGTTTATGGGAGATGTTTGTCTTCCACATTATTGTTTTAGTGCTGTACGAATTAAATATTAAAGGAGGTTGATGTAGAGAACCTTTTAAAATAGAAAGTGCTGAAACAGATGGCTAGACTACAGTACTTAAGCTAGAAGTCATTTGAAAATGGTAAGAGTCCAGTAGCACCCAATAGCAGGTGTGGTATGCAGAGAGGTAGCAATGTTGATTTCTCCATGCCTACTACCTCTGTGCATGCCACACCTAATCCAATCACACCTGCTATTCTTTTGCCTGCTAATGTCATTTGGCATCTGAAATCACTCCATTTTCCAATATATAGGACAGATAGACTCATATTCTAGCTGCATCTGAAAACTCATGAAAGCTCATACCCTACCACAAATTTTATTAGTCTTTCAGGTGCTACTGAACTCTTACTCTTTTCTAACTTTTACAGACCGACTAACACGGCTACCCATCTTGTTCAAATATGGGTTATATGAAATATAAAGAGTTTGTCTTTTAATTTTCCTTTTCCTTTTAGGTAAACCAGGAACTGGAATTGCAAATACCAGTTGGGCTCAAACATCATGTTACCTTAGTATGCACAGGGACTCTTGTTACTACTATATTGTGCTCCAGCCTTATTCTTTCATCTTTATTAAAGCATGGAGAGTTCTTGTTTGTTCAGAGCTCACTGTGAAATGAAACAAGACTTTATTGAATCTTCATGGAAAAACTGTCAAACTGTCTAAACAGACCAATCAAACAAGATATGGGAAGTGAAGAACAGTCTTGTGATTGGCACAGCATCACTATTTGTTCTGTACTTTGATTCTGTTAGAGAAATCTGTTCCCCTGGGTTGAGCAATCTGATAAAATGAGCTCTGACTCATAAATGCTTATTCTGGAATAAATTCTGTTAATTTTCTAGGTGTCACTGGATTTGTGTTTTATTTTTCTGCTAAAGACTTACATGGCTGCTAATCTGGAACTAATAAAACCTGTAACTCCCTGCCTATTACAGGTATTTATCTAGCTTAGCATATCTAGTGAATTGTATTTTTCCTGATTAGACTTGAATTTTATATTAAAATTTGAGCATTACATTATTATTACATTTCACTCTATACTTCCGACATTTCTTCTTGAACAACTATGTGTCTGTCTTTTTCAAACCAGCTACCTCCTATATAAAATTAATGCAAAATGAGAATCTATATGTATGTCTGAATAATGGAAGCTCTTGCTAAGCTTCATTAGCGACTGGGGGAGAGAAGATATAAATCTATTAAAATAAATAAAAAAGCTTAACCTGGGGGAAAATGTTGTGATTATACTGTCACAAGATATTCATTTATTTTTGCTTTGTACGCAGTTTAGCATCATGCAGAACAGGAGAATTTCTTTGAGCATCAGAAAAATTATCTGCTGTTAATTTTATGAATGTTTAATAAGAGAGATCAATCACGTGGACAAAATTGAATTCTATGTGGAGAAGTAACACTTTAGAATGAAGTCTCAAATGTTCATGTAAACCATATGTTGAATTAATTTGAATCCCAGAAGATGATAGAGTTGATGGAATTATTCCAAATAATGAGAGAACACTTGGAAAATCAATAGTTTTGAAAATACAAGGAAATACAGAGAGGAAATTGTTTCATTAATGGAAAAACTGAGCAGTGCCAAAGATTACTAATTTTTCTATATTCAACAAGCTTCACATGTCACTAGGGGGCATTAAATGGCTGCTAGCATGTAAAACACGGTTCATAAAGAAAATGTGCCTATCTCCCATATTAGTAGAGGGAAGATATAAAATATCAGTAGAATAAAAGTAGGCATTTTATTTTTGTACTGCAGTACATCAGTATAACCTGAATTCATTCAGAAAGGTTATATCTCAACTGTACTGCTCTCCTTGTCCCTTTTGGTATTCTGTCTGGATTTTCATCAGAAGTTCATTAAAAAGCTTTTTTTCTGACTTCTTTCAGTCCTATGAATGAGACACTGGTCTTTTGTGCTCCTTGAACAAAGTGCTGAATGATGATAGCTGAGAGAATGCTTTAGTGACTACCTCAGTGTAAAGACTGCTCTGCATCTGTTAGGGGGAAGGGAGCCCTTAAAACAATTGCAGAGGGATTATTTTTGTTGCTCATTATGCTTATGAGCAGCTGTTGCTTGTGATGAGCAGTCAGTTGTGAGCCTTGACTTTGACTTCCTTTAATGTAATGTCAACTTCAGAGAGTTCTGTATTTTGCATCTGCTCCTACCAATGCATTGAAAGGCAGTTTTTGTAATTGTGTGCTCAACCACTTCAAGTTAAATACCTTATGGTAAGATGTTATTAAAGGTGTTACATACATACAAGTGGGAACTTGCAAGAAACTCGCAGGAGTGGCTATGCCATTCCTACTTATGCTTCCTCCTCTCTCCCTCTCTCTCTCTCTCTCTCTCTCCCTCCTCCATGCCTGTCACTTCTTTCTGTCCCCCAACTCATCACTCTTTCTTTTGTCTGTCTCTACCCCATCACTCTCTTTCTGCCTCCATTACTCTTCTGACCTCACACGTTTCCTGCTGTGCATATCAGCAGCGGTGGAAGCGGCTCTCCAGGACTCACAACAGATCTTCCAGTTACATAAAGCAGTTTCTCTTAGAGTTGCTAGCTCCAGTTTGTGAAATTCCTGGAGATTTGGGGATAGAGCCTTGGGAGGGTAAGGTTTGGGGAAGGAAGTGACCTCAGCAGGATACAATGCCATAGACGCCACCATTTTCTCCAGGAGAGCTGATCTCTGTCCTCTGGAGATAACTGTCCTTCCAGATCATCTCCAGCCCTCACCTGGAGGTTGTCAATGCAGTTTCCCTGGAGGAAATGGCTACTTTGGAGGGTGGGCAGGCCCCGCCCTCCCTGGCATGAGCCCAGCAGACACTGAAAGAAGAAACTATTTACCAAGCTGCCAGTAGATATTTAAACCAGTCAACTACATTTTAAATTGAGTTAATGTTTTAATGAACTGTCCTAATTAATATATCATTTTTGAAGTTTTTTTAAAAATGTTTTTGTTTCAAATTTTATATTCTGCAAACCTGGGTTTGTAGAAAGATCTGTCTTGCCTATTCACAGGTCCAGTCACTGGACTTAAGCATCCAAAGATTTGGCTGACTTGGCTATTAGTATCTCCAGTTCCAGTGCCAAAAGATCACCTGTATGCAAATTAGCATCTAGGTGAAAATTAGTTATGTCTTTGGACAGATCTTTGAGGCTGTAATTAGATAATGGGCTATGGAGAGGGTGATATTGTTATCTTTTAACAGACAACATACATTAGATGGTAATCATGAGGAAAAAAGGAGAAGAGTGATATTAACAGAATTAAAATTTGAACTTATTGAGGAATATAAATCACAACTAAAAAAAAAAGTGGTTCTGCCTCCATGTTTCTGCATGGGGAGGCCCTCTGTTCAATCAGGCTACCTGAGAATCTTCTGAATAATTTGTTAAGGGGTATAGCATTGTGTTGAGCCAAGAAGAAAAGTCTTTGATAAACTGGAATTGTTAAAAATTTCAGACAATCTGGAAGGATTGGAAAAGAAAGGTACTCAGTCCCCCAAAAGAGGGTGCACATTTCCTTTCAGAGTTGCTGCATAACTCAAGGTGGTCCCTTTGTTCTAAGGTAGTAATTATGTTCATAACTAAAGGAAGTTGTGAATGAAAACTAGGGTAAGAAATACACAGATATGAGAGTCTTTAGTGTACTATCTTGTCCAGGGGAACACAAAAGGATCAAGTTTAGTCCATTTTAGGAGGTCAGGAAGAAAATCCAGGTCTAGTAAATAAAATGGAAATTTCACCACAGCCTTTCATATCATCAAAGAGATGGAAGAATGACCAGCTTCTAAATACAAGTCAGAGTTTGAAATGCAATTAGGTATTGAAAGAGGGCCTGGAGAAATTTTTATCATAAAGATTCAGTTTTGGAAGTAAGAGCTGGAAACCAGAGTGGAGACCTGTAGAGCAGAAAAGATCTAATTTTTGCTTTGTAGACTTCCAGAGCAAAAAATACTAATTGCCCTTTGGAATGATTTTTTTAAAAATCTCATGGTTCCTGCTAGACGTACTTTGGTGGACTTAAGACAAGAATAATTAAATTTCTTGTTATTAAAAACTTAAAGGTAAAGGTTCCCTTGCTCGAAAGCCAGTCGAATCTGAGTCTAGGGTTGCGGTGCTCATCTCCGTTTCAAAGCCGAAGAGCCAGCACTGTTGGTCATGTGGCTGGCATGACTAAACACCAAGGCGCACGGAACGCTGTTACCTTCCCACCGAAGTGGTCCCTATTTATCTACTTGCAATTTCTTGCTTTCGAACTGCTGGGCTGGCAGGAGCTGGAACTAGAGATGGGAGCTCACTCCATCATGCGGCACCCGGGTCTCAAACTGCTGAACTACTGACCTTCCACAGCCTGCAGTTCAGCATCTTAACCACTTGAGCCACCGCAGCTCCTTGTTATTAGAAGAGGCAAAATGAAGGCCTAAATTCTTGAAATTAGACACTTGCTCAAACAAATGCCCATGCAGGATCCATGGGTCTGTTTTTTTCCATGATGGGTATTTCTGGAAACACATTACTTTGGATTTGGTGTTTATCATGGCAATAAGAAACAAACACTTGGAGGAGGTGTCTTAATCCCACCCTTGAACAAGAAAGAAGAGCTGCATCATCTGCATAAAGTTAAAGCAGAATAAGATGTGCAGCTAGACTAGGAACATGAAAATGATTAGCATGTAATTTATTTGGGAGGTTATATATATAATAACCTCCACCACCACTAGTGTACCACCACCGCACTAGTTTACCATCTGCGCCCCATATATGGACATCTGGATAGGGGCATGTACCATCAATGCCCCATAATTGCTGCATTATGGGTGAGAGCGAGACGCCCAGGGGGGGCGGCCATCTTGTTTCTAGAAATTGTAATTTGGAAATTGGAAACTAGCTGAGTGGAGCACCAAAATTGTTTTAATGGTGATGTACTTTTAATATTTTGTACTGTTTTATTGTTTTATTTGGCGATACGCCCTGTTAGCTGCCCTGAGCCTTCGGGGAGGGCGGGATAGAAATGCGAAAATAAATAAATAAATAAATAATAAATCTAGTGCTAAAATACAACCCCGTTGAACACCTTTTGTGACAGGGACTGGGGTTGAGAGGCAACTAGTTGTTTGACATCTTATTCTCATGGCAGTTCAAGTATGTAATGAGACAATCAGATGCATAATGGTCCAGGAATTCCCAGTTGGTCTAATTTGATCCAAAGCCTTGTGCATGAAATTTTGTTGAAGACTGCCGTGAGGTCCATAAAACTCGGAAACAAATTCTCCTTAGGATACGGTGTATATTTATCAGCTACAAAGGAGAGCACATATTCATGATGTAATGTTGATGAACCTTTTTTAAAACCAATTTGTTCAGAGCCTGGAACTGATAAATTGTAAAGCTACAGAACTTTAGTTGTAGGTGCAGCATACTGTTTTTTCTGGTATGGAGAACAGGCTAATTGGTCTATAATTGGCTGGGGAGTGCTATGAGCCCTTATATGTAGGGAATAAAATAGCATCTTGCCATTTGTCAGGGACTTAGCCAGTTGAATCAATCTTGGTGAATAAGCATTGTAAAATTGGCGCCCACCAGTGACAACGGTTTTTAAAACGTTCAGGAGGCACCCAATCTGGCCTGGGGACCTTGCCAGGCTTTATTCCAAACTTCCTCCATTTCAGCTGGTGAAAAATTTAGAGATTTTTTAAAAATGTAGTAAAAGGTATCTATATACTATTAGCCACTTGTGCCCCCCATCTG